TGTCATTGCAAGTTCCGATACCCCCTAAGGGATGTATATTCTGACGATCTATAGTGTATGAGTTTGTGCCCGCCTACCGTGCTTTGTGGCTACAGTACCTTGCCAACATTAGCTATTATCATTGGATCTCTGGGGGTGATACAGACCAGGATCGCATTATGTTAAGAGATACCGCACGGTCCTCGCACCTTATAGCTATTAGCGTGAACCCTGAGGTCGGCCACCTGTACTGCCGCCTGGGATCACTTATACAAAGCAATGCCCTGCAGCAGCTGTTCTACTATTGTAAAGGCCTATGTGTGACCCGGCCCTCTGACATGGGTAAGGTTGCCATCAACAGACTTGCCGGACCAATACGTGCGAGTGGCGGTGTGCCCTGGGACCATATTAGCCAATTCACCCTCCTCCATGCCATTAATATCACAGATAGCAGGAAAGACAAGAAACGATTTGATAACACTCTAACTATGTACCTACATGCCATGGCAGTCCAGAACCTAGAGTCAGACTGGAAGGTAAGTCTATACCCATATGAGACTCGTACCTAAAGAACGCCTAACACTCAGAAAGTATCATAGTGCATATATCGGAATTTGCAATATCATCGGACTCCATCAGTATGGCTTGCGGAAGGACCTTCTATCCGGCACCCAGCTGACCTTGTATCGTTCGAAGCGCTTAGCATACCGCATACTTGATGTTGCCCTTCAGAGGATTCATGATCCTAATGTACTACCCCATTTACATGTCTGGCTCGTATTTATCTTTACCGTGGTACGAGTAGGAATGGCAATGAGGCAGCTAGAGGTCGGGTTCCCGTGGGAGGGATTGGTGAATATATTAAATAGCAAGCTCATCAGAGATTTCCACCATGGTATATCCTTGGACATGAGATTCCCTCGAGGTCCCTATGGCCACCCATTACCTGAGGACCACAGCCTTCGTGGGTTTCGCTGGGCACGAGGATATTTCCCCGACGACTGGTTTGGAGAAGAAGGGTGGGGGGGCAGGCAACATCAGGCTGTGGAACCACCGTCAATGATGAGCGTCCGTGTCGAACGCATATTATGGCTTGCCATTCAGATCGCACAGGTAGGCAGTGCATTGCCCACCGCTTGCTTCTGGGATCGCTGACCCTTTGGCCATACAGGGCGGAGACCATCTGGTCTACAACGACGGGAGGTTTAGGATACATTCCAATCTTGATAGGAGGATCTCTAGTGAACGGGAGTACACACTGGGTCGGCCTCAGCGATCGTGCCAACAGAGAGCGGGTATTGAAATGCAGCATCTGGTAAACCCCACCTTCTATGGTACTACGCACGATCGCTCACATGTATAGACATTGGTTATTGGCGATCGCCCCTTGCTCTACAATCCTGAAATCCTCCAGCTAGTCACGTTGAAGCATCGTATATCACTGGTGATTCCCAGTCAAGGTATTGGAACCTATCTTACCTGCGATCCTACAATAGGCTAACATTGGAGCCAGTTGCCACTAGACTGCTTAATGCCACATATGAGCCATCAGGGCTAGGTGACCTTGCACACCAGGTAATGGATAGGGTGTTTGATACCATGCAAAGGGGGGGCGATTTGAGGATTATAGATATAAAAGGGTGCGCGGCTACAGACAATAGCGGTTCCAGTTCCGAGGACATGCAATGCCAGGTAAATATCATTCTAGCAACAATCCGGCAGGTAATGGAGGAGAGAGGAAATCACAATGTGGCGCTGCTGGTCATGGATGATGACCATGGAACACAGGCTGGGGCTATTACTTCCGGGGTCAGTACAATATCTGTATCTGCCTTGTACAGGATACTATCGCCTGTCTGACCTGTGCCGGGACTATCCCCTTGGATATATACATGTCCTCTAGCCTTCAGACCATTTCATACTATCTTATATGCAGAATACATTTGATTATTGAGATCATGTGCCATATTATGCCATTATGTCTATATTGATCAGGAGCCTGAGTATTATCAAGTCAATCTATATATCTTCCTTTTCTATTTCGATACTAAATTCTTTATCTGGTTCTCAGGTAATAGTGCGCAAGGCAAGCCTTGGGTTCCCATTGGCGCTAACATTGACATATCCACTTCCAGACCGCCTGTGCCGCATAGTATAAGAAAGGGGGCTATGATACACTAAGGAGAGGAGGCCGCTACAGGAATAAAAGGTTCCATCACTCGCCCTCATCCAATATCACTCGCTGCATGCATCAATCCTACCACAAATACCCCTGTCCGCTTAGGACATTCCACAAAACGGCCATCAATGTATACCGCCCGTAGTGGCACCACACGTACCACCGGGTGCATTTAGGCGGTTCCCATATTTATCAACGATCCTTGTTCCACATGAAGGCGGCCGATTAGCTCCAGTAGGTCTCCAGCCCTCCACCTTGCTAGACAGGTATTAGTACATCATTACCGAAGGGGGCTGGGTGAGGCCGTGCCTGGATAGGGCGCAAGAGATGGGGGAGGGTCTGGTATTCTAGCTCTTAAAGCCTGGTTTCCCCGATAAAGGCGCCAGGCACTTGCCCGGAGGGCCTCTTCGAACGTAGGACCTAACGTATAGTACATATTGCCATTGTGCGTGGGGAGAGGATATAGGATTGGGGTCCAGTGGGATGGGGGACTGTGCGTTCATTTGCCGAACACTATACTCAGGTACATGGTGTAAAGCCCGTGTGTAGGTTGTTGGGGTTTCCTCCTGAGTAAGCGCTGCCGATCCCTTTACTACTATCACGGAAGCGGGAAAGGGGCTGCTCCCTTTCTAGACGTCTCATAGCACACGGCCTAATTATTCGAATAATAAGAGTCTCCTGAATTATCTTGCCCCTGAAGCCAAGGACTGTAAGGAGTTGGACAGACGCAACCTATAGGTGAGGTGTTCTAGCCCAATCCCTGCGTGTGTTGCACCAGAGATTGGCACCTGAGGCAATAGGGAATCAGCAACCGAACCTCAAGAACAAATACGACCACACGGCCTAGATGTGTCTCAATCAGGTTGGAGCACTTGAGCATAACACGGGGCCTGGCACCTGTGTTACCGAGAGGATGCGCTTTCCGCTAAAAGCGCTTATCAAAATGTGCATTTACAAATACCTGTTGCACCCCCTGCTGACAACAGAGCATGTTTCTATCGGCCAGGCCCACCTACTCTACATTTTATAATTTATCAAAAGAAACCTATAGCCCATGTATGGGATACTGGATGATGGTGTTGTTGGGGAGATACTCGCAGAACATTCAGAACAGCCTCGGGCTGTTGGGGAGATACTCGCAGGACATTCAGAACAGCCTCGGACTGTTAGGGAGATACTCGCAGAACATTCAGAACAGCCTCGGGCTGTTGATGAAGCCATGGGAATTGGTAAGAGAGCCGGGGATGAGATAAAGGTAAGAGGGGTGGAGCTGTAGAGAGTGAACGGAGGGATACCCCAGAGAAACCTTTCCATTGAATAGTTACATATGGCTAACTACCCCTTCACGGAGGGGCCGGGTTTAGGCAATGGCGAGATACCTCTACGAAAAGTATAATCTGGAAAGGCAGGATCGCACATACAATCGGATCCCAGAGGAGATTAAGCGGCCTGCAGAAGACGAACTACACACTTGGATTAAAACACGATATCCACAGTTCGCATTCCGCGAATATACCACCTTCAGAATGGCGAGAGCCTGGAAATCATTAGGACGAAGAAAGCGTCGCAGGAGAAGCAAAGGTGTGCCCCCTTTCGGGAATGGGTTCATTCTCTCCCCATACTAAATGCAGCTTCCGCAGAACAAACCAACGGCAATTACCCACCTGGGGAGCCGTGTGCGACTGGTCGCCAAGGTGACACCCCCTCAGGCAGCCAGGTTTCCACTACTCCTAAAACACCACGGGAACCTTCGGCAAAGCCCCAAGGTATGTTTTACGAACGGCAATTACCCACCTGGGGAGCCGTGTGCGACTGGTTGCCAAGGTGACACCCCCTCAGGCCGCCAGGTGTCCACTACTCCTAAAACACCACGGGAACCTTCGGCAAAGCCTCAAGGTATGCTTTGGTCCGTGGGAGCTCTTCCACCTGACAAAAGCTAATATCACATAGGGCATTTTAGACCGTGGGAGTAGAGATAACGCGGGAGCTATCGCAGGTATGGGGAGTTGTGTTTAGGAAATAGCGAAGGGGTTTTGAACTAAGAAGCGGGGGGGTTAGCTACGGCAGGGGGTCGTACCTTCTACCTTTTATGTCGTTCACAAGATTTAGCATGCTCATAATAGGCTATACCATGGTTCTGGTTTCGGCCCGGGTTGGCCTGCATGGTATACGACACAGAGCGAAATGGAAGTACTATCCTCACTCAGTGAGGTTATTGCGCATCGTGTAGTAGCGTTCTTTGATGCCGAGTGATACCCTGTGATCGCTCACAATTCCAGCCCAACCGGCTGACACTAATAGGAATCCACCTCCAAAGCCAGAGCCAATGCCAATAGTGCCTATTCACCATAACCCCAAGGGCGCAAGTACTTCGTAGACCGGGGGAGCCCTCAGCGAGGCGACACCCTCAGCGAGGCTTGGCGATATTTGGCAGCAAAGAATGCCCGCGGTCGAAGATAGTTGTGAGCCAAGCCATGCCGCGCCTCGCTGAGGGCTCCCCCGGTCTACAGGCCTTAGCTATCCACATCGCTTCTAACCGAGGGTGGGTGACTGCAGGGTGAGCACTGGTACGGTGTTACGAGAAATTTTGGTGGCGCTTACCTAATTCCCACGCTAACCAAGAGTGGACGAACGACTGTTGGATGAGTATATCAGACCACTATACTCACCTAACAAATTCCAAGACTTGCACCTGTGTGTTTTCCTACCGTGGTCTCCTAACTCTTAGCTGCCATTAGGGCCCCCTCTCGAACTTCAATGCCGTCTTTCCACCCGCCTCACAAGACTACCCGAAGTCCCCACAGGGTTCATCTCCCATGGGTGAGTGTGTCACAGATGGAAAAAAAAAGTTCTTTAAACGCTTAGACATTTTACTACCGTGGATTGATAGGTGGCCCATGTGGAGGAAGTAATTGATCCATTGGTGCCTTCCGTCAGCGTTTTTGGGAATGTCGCAGCACCCCCCATGGTCAGCACTATCGGGTTCCCATGAACTAGATGTTTTAGAGAGAACACACCCATCCCAGTACGCCTCACCCTGGGCAATCCCATTATCATGATGCAGGAACACAAGGTCACTCAATCCCTCCGGAATGAATATTAATTCGACCATCCAAGACTTCCGAGCCCATGACCGCGCACTCGATATGCCATCCGGGTCGTCCCTTGCGCCGCGGACTGTCCTGGCTTGGTTCTCCTGGCTTCTCTGCCTTAAATGCCTTCCATAGAGCGAAATCTTGGGGTTTCTTCTTACTGGCTAGTGGTTTTGGCTTGCCTTCCGCTCCTGTTTCAACAGTATTTGGTAGGGTTGTGGTTTTGTCGGATGCCAAAGCACCCTCATCATCTACAATCAAGATCTCATTGCCTTTATTCCATGGCTGGAGTTTGGCGTAATGATGGCCAGCAGCTTCATATGCTGCTATATCAAAGTAGACTGACCCCTCTGCTCTAGGATATGCAAACCCCTTATCGACGAGCTTCTTTTCAAATGCCACGTTCTCGGGAATGAACTCACTCACGTGAGTAACCATTGTAGGAGGGAGAACATTGAGGGTTGCCATGTCTTCATTGAAATGGTTCTCCCAGAAACTGGTAAGATTGCTAAATACCTCAGGAGAGTATTCTCTACCTTGATTTGCTGAGTCCAGGTAAGGGAGTAGGATCGAAGATGTAGCACTCCGGAAATCTCTCAAGTCTTCCGTGGTCTTTTGTAAGAGGAATGAGACAGCATGCAGAGTTGAGACATGCATCTTAGACTTTGTAGACCTTTCATCCAGGATCACCTTCTCCTCTTCCTCAGGCTTAGCAGAGGGGCTGCACTTCCGCTCTCGCTCTTTGAAAACAAGACTCATAATCTCTTTTTTAGCATGAGTGGGCCCAATTCTCAAAATCCTCGGGAGTAACATCGTCACCGGCTGCTGTATTCTTCTACAGGGAAGCCGTCCAAGCTACAGATACAGTAGATATAACTTCCGGTGTAATAGATGGATCCTGAGAGATAAATTCCTCAAGCAGATGCTGCTGACGAGCTCACAGGATAGTCTGTATTCGCGCGCCAAATTAGCAACTCGTTCAGCCACTTCACCCTACCCTGCTCCAGAAAGCAAGAAAAACCCTACCTTGTCGTCAACATCTGTGACATTCTGCACAAATTGCACTTCAAACCCGAAGTAATCCCTCAATATCCTCCCCAAGACGCCCGTGGTGACATAATTCCGCGCATGGTCCAAATTCCCCGCATCATAATCCTTAGGCACCCAGCAGTACCAGGTAATCTCCCTACTGCAAGCGTCGATAGGAACAAACAGGCTAGTCTCCTTCGTTAGCGATTATAAGTGTGAAGCGCGGGGAGGGAAGCTCTGTGAGGTGATGGTGGGGTACACACCGGCTGCTCCCTCCTAGAGGTCGAAGTCGGTCTGAATGGGGAATAGATTTTTAGCTGAGTTGTCTTTATTGCGGCGGGTTTTGGTCGTAGAGATAAGATTGCCCGAAGACGAAGGTGGTGGGGGGAGAAGATGATGTGGAGGAGAATGAAGAGCATGCAGAAATGCCAGGTGTGATTTGCGGGGAAAGGGGTCGGAATTGGTGAGTGGCAGGTGAGTCAAGGTCAACTCTTCTGTCACGTGTACGGAGATACAGCGTCTAATATTGTATAGTAGGCTCGACAGGCGAGGTGTATCAACTTGCATAAATACCCCCCCATTTCCACCCATCAGCCGGCACCAAATACCCAATTCAACCGCAAGAACTCGCCCCAAGCAACATAATATGGCCCAAAGCACACACTCTCTCTCCCTTTTCTAAAAAACAATACAAATATTTTTCCTTCCTCATTCCTTCTCTATATCTAGTCAGTCCCAAAATGATGGACAGATAGGTGGAGGGTGCGTCCCTCCCACAATTATTTCATTTTTTCAGATTCTCCTCTTTTCCCTTGGATATATTCTTTGTGTTCACTTGCTCTGTTTTCTATAAATAGTGCGGCAGGATATAGCAGGATAACCTTCGCTCTGTCATTATGTTTAAATTTTTCTGTCTCTTTTTTCACTCAGTCAATTTCTGTATAGTACTGTAGCGTTAACATATCTAGAGGTTGTGACTGTGAATCATTCGAGCTAGCTTATCTTATCGAAGGATGGAGTCTGGAATGGGGTGTTATGGACTGAATTTCAATAGCCAATTTGAATTGAATTGAATTCTCAATGGGTAAGTTAGGGGTGGCAGTATGCTTTTGAAGGACATGACCAAACCTGCAGACAGTGGAAGCCACCCATGTTTATTCTTGACCCGGTGAGTACCCTCGAATGGGATACTCTGCCTATGCATAGCAGTCAATCTGAGGAGCAGAATAGGTTTTGAATGTCGGTTGAGATTGAGGTGAAAGTTAGCGGTAGTGCCGGATATGTCGGGCAGCCACAGGGTGTTGGTCTGGACACTGGTGTTGATAGATATATCGTGAGTCCCATTTCTATCTGCTTCGCCGCAATTTCTGACAAGGGTAGTCCGCATACCTCCTTTACATCTTTGTCGAGTATGAAGTTGGGGGCGAAACAAATTGTACAGTCGATGGAAAGCACAAGGGATAGAGTCGCGGTAATGACCTTTCCATATGCTATGTCGAATAATGTGTACACTCTCAATGCTTCAGGATATTGAGGTTTGGTTTCGGGGAGGATATGGATTCCCCGGCCCAACATACCAATAGCAAGAAAAAAGCAAAACAAACAAGACCCACCCAGCACCAACAACAGACATACCAATAGCAAGAAAAGAGCAAAACAAACAAGACCCACGAAGCACCCACAATAGAAATACCAATAGCAAGAAAAGAGTAAAACAAACAAGACCCACCCGGCATCAACAACAGGCACACAGCAATGGTGAGTGCACCCCATAGGACATTGGAACTGTCCTCTCCCCCTCGTAGTCAACCCTGAGGCAGCAGCTTAGTCTCTATCGTGGTAGAGGTTGTTCCTGACAGCAACAGTCATGGCAGAAAAAATGCGCTCCAAATCTCGTTGAACGTCTTCCATCTCGGCACGGGGTCTGGGGGCAGTTCTATAATGATGGCTTATATCTTCGGTGCAGGTTTGCGTGAGGTTGGCCAATCTTGATGCGACATAATCTTCTACATGCTCCCAGGGAACAAGATCGCCCCCATTGCCCTCCCCTTCACCACCTCCCCCACCGCCCGCAACAACAAAACCGCTCGGCCCACAAGTGCCACCCGCTAGCTCGACATCTTCCATCGCTGACAAAATTTTGTATAAGTCGTCCAGAGTTTTTGCATCCAGTACATCCCCCCGTACCTTGAATGTCACAGAATCAAGGGTTCGAAACGAGGAAGTCTCTAGAGTTCGTTACGGGGCCTCCGGGGCCCCAAAAACTGCGGGTCCCTGCCCCCGTTCCCTGCCCCGCCCCGGCGTTTGGCCCGGGGCGGGGCCTATTTGCTTCTCCATTCCCTCCCCGGCCCGATATGGCCCCCCGACCTGGCCACCCCCTGTACGGGGCCCCGCTACTGCTCCCACCAAATTATATGGCTGGGAGCACAATTGGGGTTGCCCGGTAGCCCCCGTGCGGGGCGCGGGGCGGGGGGAGTTTGGCAGCGCCCCGTGGCCGTAACGGGGTGGGGAGAACTTGCAGAAACCCGCCCTGCCCCGTAATGAACACTAGAAGTCTCCAATTCGTTTAGCAACTGGACATCTATCTAGTGCTAGTGCAGGTCATCCTGACCACCGGCGACAAACTTGCAGTCCCCAATGGGGCACTCGAGTGGGTTGAGATGACTGCTTAGAATATGAGATCTATATAAAATTGTTAACCACTAAACCAGCACCAAAGCAATACTTATAACTCAAATAATTGATCCTCATGCTAGGGCGTTGGAGTTGCCTTTGCTAATATTTTCGGAAGCGTTTGTACGGCACAAGTAAATGGGTCAGGGTATAGGGAACTTGCCTGAGGCAGGAAAAAGGTGTCAAATTTGCCAGCACACGGGATACCGGACGAGACGACCCTACAGACAAATATTCTTCATTGCCAGAGTGTTGGGGGTTGTCACCAGGCCGACCAAGTGCCTGCTCGCTTCGTTGGATTTTCTTCCCTGGGCGGCCGACTTCAGGTGGATCGTTGGGACGCTTTTGTGGAGATATAGATCCACGAACTGGAAACCTAGACCCGGAACGTTGCTGACCAAGTCCGTGCTCGCTTCGTTGAATTTTCTTCCCTTTCCGGTCGACTTCAGGCGGATCATTGGGAGGCCTTTGTGGAGAGACGGATCCACGAACAGGAGACCTAGACTTGGAGGGTTGTTGAGATGGCTCGCTGCCACCTAGAGTCCGTTATGGGGCCTCTGGGGTCCCGAAAACTGCAGGTCCCCGCCCCCGTTCCCCGCCCCGCCCCGGTGTTTGGCCCGGGGCGGGGCCTATTTTCTCCTCCATTCCCTCCCCCGCCCTGGCCACCCCCTGTACGGGGCCCCGCTACTGCTCCCACCAAATTATACGGCTGGGAGCACATTGGGGTCGCGCGGTAGCCCCCGTGCCGGGCGCAGGGCGGGGAGGGAGGAGTTTGGCGGCGCCCCGTGGCCGTAACGGGGCGAGGAGAAATAGCGGAAAGCCGCCCCGCCCCGCCCCGTAACGAACACTACTGCCACCACTACCGGTTTGCTTGGGTATGAGCTCCGGGGTCTTTCGAAACATTTTGTCCTACTTGTTTTTTGTTTCGGGGGGGGGGCTAGAGAGAGGGCTGGTGCACGCGCGAGAAACAGTGGTTTTTTGTTGTAGTGATGAAGTTTCAGTTGTGTGCGGAGGGGGGAGTGTTTGTGGTTCTTGTGAGGAGCGGGTGGGAGAAGAGTTCATGAGTTGGGAGCAAACGCCTCCATTGCACGTACATACGACATTGGTTGGAAAGAACTCCTCTACAAGGCTCACCAAAAGGCAACTCAGCAATGACAAAGCCCTCCCTACCCATAAGTTGAAAGTATCAAGGGAATCATTCAACTCCCATCGTGATGCCCATACCGGCGTAGAAAAGACCACCACCGCGGTATGGTTCTATCTGCAAGTGAATTAGAGGAAAAGTAGAATGAAGGGGCTTTTTCCTTCTTCTCGGAACGATACGATATAGCTCCACTGCAGCCAACGCTGGGTTACTACGGTATCCCGTGGTGTAAACCAAGCTATCCGTCACAAATGTACTGCGCAGCGGCACACGAGGCCGTACATGACACGCCTTAAAGACCCTCCATGAAAAAAAGGACCAGATACGGCAGTAGAAGAAAGATACGGGGTTGGAATACTTCACTGCCCCGCTGCTTATTTCTCGCCCTCAGCAAAGCATTCAGAATAACATATATGAAGCGAATGGAGAGACTGTCCACCCCCTGTACCGGGCCCATCCTGTGACGGTTTAGGATGTCCAGACCACTCATGCCTGGAGTTAATAACCATATTTAGCTAGATCCCAAAATATCACTCAATACAAAAGCACCTTTTTTCCAAGCCCACGCCCCTCGAAGAATACTGCACTGGCTCAGCTGAGTGTTTTGCCTAACTCAGGAATGTATGAGAAACTCGCTAAATAATATATGACATGATAGAATCCTCCAATGGAGAAACCCGCATTGGTATTCCCCAGTTCTTAGCAGAAATTTGTTGAAGATACCATCTCTGGGGTCTGGCCAACCCTACTGTCGAGACCACTTTCCCGTGTACAAGTATACCACAAACATCCCGATATATATCATACCTCTCCCAGTCCTCGCCTCTACTGGAAAGAAAATGGAAGAGATCCGGGGATTCGGGGATGGTGGTACCTTTTCATAAACGATTTCATGAGCTTTCGAATGACACACCACCAACCAATGAAATAGTACCAATGGCTGCTATGGATAACACTTTCCCAGAGCTAAATTAATAATTTGACAAAAATCGGGAAGCAATATATGAGAATAGAGTTTTACATTGTGAGCGCCAACTGCAATTGCACCCCCCCCCCCCCCTTCCGTCGCCTCCTACTCTCTTTTCCGCATTTGCATCTCCCACAGTTTCCTCCCCCCCCCCCTCTAGGCATCCAAATAATCTCGTTGTGCATCTCCCTGGCCTCCTTCTCTGCAATTGTTTTCTCCCGCTGCCTCATTTCCTTCTCCTTTTTACTTACTATCCATTTCGGCATGCCTCTCCCTAGCCTCCAGCTTCCTCTGAAGCCTTACCACCTTTGTCGCCTCCTTCCTCCGGGCCATCAGGAAGGCAGTCGTCTTATCCCTGATAACAGCCCTCACCTCATCACCATGAGGATCCATGATGGCAATCAATTTTGACTTAACCTCCTTGTTGTCATCGCCAATCATTTTGTTCCGCCCTGTGCGAGACTTCACTCTAAGCGCCCAAAGATCGCCCCATCTGCTCTTCCTCAAGTCTCTGAACTCCGGTTTTCCGGGGCTTTTAGGGGCAACCCATCGTTCAATGGAGCCTGGCGCAGTGCACATGTCGAGAATGAAACGCCTGTGGCATTTGATAAACGGAGGATGATGCGTGGGAGGGCTGGACTGGAATTGCGGAGCTGTGACACTGTGTATGGACTTTGAACTGGTGCGCCATATTTACCGCCGATAAGGGTTATGCCAAATTCGTCTTTAAGATAGTGGGGTGGGGGTAGGTGATGGCCTCAAAGCCCATTGACAAGCCTCTCTAGATCATCAAAAGAACGCCGCGCCTCGGATTTAGGTGCAACCAAAGTTGTTAAATGACTTGGCAGCGGAAAAGCGACTTCACTATCTGGAGGAGTCTGTTTGTAGCAATCACCAGACGGTAGAACTTCCACGGATGAACCGTATTCTTCTCTGTCCGGGTGCCCAGCATGTGGCGTAGGTATTCGAAATAGATATTCGGCACTCGCGGAATAAATGGAGTATCGTCCAAGAGGTTCGAAACCATCTCAATAAGAGAGATGGGCCCAGTGGCAACAGCAGCTCGCAATCCGCTCTTTCTCTCACTATCGGGAGAGCCTTCCCACCCGGTCCAGGTATCAGCTTCCCTGTTCCCCGATCCCCGCATAGCACCCAATCGCCACCCAACGATATCCACAACTCGGTCAACAAGCTCAAGTACTGCCCATACAGCCCCGGCATCACCCTTATGAGAAATACTTCGGCCTCCATATCCAACATGTTACTGTTGATTGGGTTCAAGGGGATAGTCAACTGGCGATTACTCCGCTCCCTCGCTGTTACGGGGTAGCTAACTCTCATGAATTAACTAGGCCAAAGATACTCCAGAAAACGGAGATCGTCAGGAAGGCTCAGGGCCCGTCTACCTACCAGTTCCGTTACACAAATTGGTAGGGTGGGCTCTGATGGCACCGTTAGCTCAGGGTTGTGTTGCAACTGACGGTGCCAAATGTGTTTACCTAATTTTCAACCGTCAGGAATTTTGGGTGCTTAACGGTCAAAATGAGAAGGTACTCCAGAGGTGGAGTAGCAACACCGTCAGCCTCAAAAACTGATCCATTGTCACTATGCTTGGGACCTGTGATGCCCAGAATGACCATACCACCACGGAAAATCCGCTGCTTTCTTTTTTCTCCAGTGGCTCTGGGATAAATATATCAGAATTGAAACCATTGCCTGCTCCAATTAAGATTTTTTTTGCATGGCACCATGGGGGATTTGGGCTATGGTGCGAAAGGGGCTAAAAAAGAGTCACTAGAATAGGTGGAAGGACTCTTGAAGAGTCATTGTAGATGGCATGTAGAGGACACAAGTTGGGTCCGCTGTTTTAATCGGTCGGACATGATTGAATGGGAGAGGAGGTTTGGAATTGTAAGCCCAAAGCCTTCACCTTGTATTTTGTAAAATTTTGGATTTACTCATAGACGGTGTGGCAGGGGTTGCAGTATGGTAGACGGTGCATTAGGTTAACACAGAATGAGAATTCAGCCCCTAACGCTACCGACCGTTAAGAGCCCCTTGACGGTTGCCACCATCAACATGATTTAAACGGCCGTCTGTAGGTAAATGGGCCCTTAGTATCATAGTTTGGTTTGATGCGTACCGAAATTTGGTGTCAATCCATGCCGGGCCTCGCTGCGGGTGTCGCCTCTCTGAACCCTCACCCAGTCTGTATCCGTGGCTTCCCCGCTTTAGAGTTGCTGTTCGGGTTGACGGGTCTACCTCGTTGATAGCTGGATTTTGTTGGACGGGTAGACCAACACATATGGGTGGCACATGGATGCTTTGCCACAGGAACATTTCTAGCCAACCTTCCTGTGGACTCATGCCGAACAGTTCACAGTCGATTGCTAGTATCTGCCTGAACATGTTGTGTACTTAATGTAGACTACGGTAATCCATTGCCTTCTTTAGATGCTTGTATAGATAGTGATTTGTCTTTTTTACTTCTTCGTATGACGGTTCAAAAGACCACCATCAATTCCAGTGCCCGCGATGGACATATCGGGGGCTCCAAATTTATCGTGAACAGTCTGAAGTGGCCATACGTTTTTAACCACACCATTGAGTGTACTGCACGACAATGGTAGCGAATCTTGATTTTTTTGCATCCTCCATTAATCTTTTTGCCAATGCTCATCCGACACAAATTATCGGTGCTCGGCATGCGCAACCGCTCCAAGGAGGTTTATGCTTGGTCATGATCGAGGTGAATCTGGGAGCACTCTTTGCATATATTCTGAAGAATAGTTATTTTTCAATTTTTCCTCTAAGTCACTTGTACTGTGATAAGTATAGTAGACTTGATAAGATAAATATCTTTTTGACCAGTAAGATAGTAAATCCAAGCTTGTGTGCTCTATCAATATGAAGAAAAGTTTTAATTTTTTTTAATTGACTCAGAGTATATTATTAGTTTACAGCCAAACAACTCTTGTGCAACAATCAAGCTATCACATACAAAAAGCCTATAATAGAATGAGGACCATATTAAAAAAAATGCAAAGCAAGAACTCAAAAAATCCAACTACAGAAATAAACCGCCTCAGAACCAGTGCCAAACCCAAAGAAAACTAAAACCTGAGAAACCAAACCTATAAGTCATGCCTAGCTCAGGAATTACATCCCAAGAGACACCTGGGGATGGCACTGTTGGACTCCGCTAGTCTAATTGTGATAGGGCAGAATGGAGGACCCTGTGGACCAAGCAGCAGAGATGAGAGGTGATCCTTCAAGATCAGGCCAGTGAAGGTAGATAGAGGAGAAAGACAGCTGTAATTCAGAACCAGGAACTTTGGAAAAAAGATTGTCCTAGGATGCAATAGCTGTATAGTGCTGGTGATGGAGGAGGGGAAAGAAGAGTCCAAAGGCCCAGAGGGGTAGCAGTAGGGTGCTAGCCATACAGGGTAGCAGTAGGGTGCTAGACATACAGGGTAGCAGTAGGGTGCTAGACATACAGGGTAGCAGTAGGGTGCTAGACATACAGGCTAGCAGTAGGGTGCTAGACATACAGGGTAGCAGTAGGGTGCTAGACATACAGGGTAGCAGTAGGGTGCTAGACATGCAGGGTAGCAGTAGAGTACCAGCCAGGTAGTAGGGTAGTAGCCACGCACCAGGAGAGTGCAAGCTGACTGACAAAAGAAGGATGCAGAAGCAAACAGAAGACTGGGTTGTAAGAACCCCCAAAGCAATATGGTTGAAAGCTGCAAACCCAGGATCATAAAGGCCATGTCCAAACCCCTGAACACTCCTGGTCTTTTGTCATGTCTTTCATGTCGTCCTTTGTTCCACAAGGATAGCGTCACTTAGTGGAAGGGATCCCACTACTGAGTAGAGTGAAAGGGTTGGGCAATTACACTACTGATAGCCTGGATGACAACAAACAGGCTGACTAAAGCAGTGTTTCCAGCCATCCGGGGGCCCGGGGAGGCCCACAGGGGGACTGCCAAGACCCCTGGACAGGAGGGGACGGCTATCTGTAGTCCGTTCAGGGCGGCCTAAGGACAGGACGGCCGTCTTTTAGCAGGACGGCGGGCCTTCCAGGGTGAGACATGTTAGTTCAGGGCAGGGGGGGTGGATGGCAGGGGACTTCAGAGGACGGCAAGGGACGGCCGGGGACTGGTGAGGATGGCCGGGGACGGTGGGGGAGGGTGGGGGACAGTAGGAGAGTGTTGAAAAATGATTGATATGGAGGTAATGATCTGTAGTGAGGGTTTACGCAGCAGAGTAGAATCATGCAAGTGGAGATGGAAGGTTTTTCTCAGGTCAAGAGAAAGACCATGATTGATTGCTTAGAGATGACTGAGATGAAGAACTTGAGGAGAGAGGTAAAGTACAGGAAGTTGTTCACTCGCAAGAGAGGACAGAAGGGAAGAAAAGACAGGGATGAGAAAACTTTGCATGGCTTACACGTCTTCCAGGGGTACAGACATATGCTACTGATGTCTTCATGTATGAGCACATCCCGCACCAAGTGTGGCCATCAACTGCTATTTCCAGCAGGGACGGCCGGGGACCACACGAGTGATGCCTCATAGTGTGAAAATGATTCGTGTCAAGGTGTATAATTTTAACTTGACTAGTACTAGAGGTCTAAGCGCTAGGACTATTGTCCCCTATAGTCCGTCCGGTCCTCACCCTCCCGGGCATAGTCCGTCCTAGCACCCACAAAAGGACGGACTATGAGCTGTAGTCCGTCCCGTCCTCCCCTGAAGACGGACGGACTGGACGGTTGGGAACACTGGACTAAAGTGAGGGGCCCGGCCTCCCTCAGCAGCCAACATGAGTGACCATGGAAAACGTAAGTAAGATGCAAAGGCAACCGAGAGGAAGGGGGAGGTAAAGACTGAGGGGGCCCAGGGGGCAAGGGGGATGGCCCAAGTACCCCAAGGGGGATACAGGAGAAGGGGGCCCCCCAAAAAGGGGGGGTATAGAGGGGGTGGGGCTCACATTAATTTCTGATGGTGTTGAGATTTCAATCAGGAGATATGAAGGAAAGCTACACCCCTTTATATACCCTTATATCATTACAAGCACACTGCCCCATACTAAGGAAATAACTAGAACCTACTTGAATCTACTAGTACATTCATTGGTCATCTGACTGTGTCACATGACCAACACAGCCACATCACCGGATAGGAATAGGATACCGTATATTTCAACAGTTATCGTCTCCTTGGGGTATCTAATAAGTGGGTAAAGCTAACTTGACATGCCTAAAATTGCTGTTGCAATGTAAACTAGGATTCGAGGAAGTTATGTTCAGGCACTCTAAACTCCCACATCTCCCGCTTTTTACTCCCCTCGCCCCTAGATATAGCTAGCTTAACTTCGGCTGCAAGTTTCTTGAGTGGATCGCATTTCTCTCTATGCTTTTCAAAAGACAGAATTTTCATCCCTCCTTCTCAGATCAGGGACCAGGGAGTTATGTTGAGGACCCAGCCCACTACTTTGTTAACCGTAAACTTGTCCAAGCCCTCGATTGTGTTCCAAAGAAGAAGGTTTAATTCGGAGAGCTTGCGATACAAGATAGAGAATACTAGAGCATCGCAGCTGAGGTCGGGAGGTGTGGCAGCGCACTGGAGGAGCGGTTGTGAAGGTTGGTAGCGGTTAAAAAGAGGCGTAAACACCAGTCCTACGTGAGTGAGGAGCTGAGTGCTGCCACTTGATATCGCTTCTCTGATATCGCGATTTCTTCATCAGAATCCTAGCGGAGCTGGCTGGCTGGGGATGGATATACCGGTACTACGTAACACGGCTTTGGGCACAAACTCTCTGGGCTTACCTCTACTTTCCTTTACCTTGAAAATTGGAATTTTATCTATACTCCCCTCAACCCCCTGGACACAAGCCTCCAACTGCCTTCTTAAACAACTTTGCGCAAATATTCTCCACACCCTACACTCATGCTATGAATAACCACTCCTGGCACCGCTTCTCGACTAGAGACGTCCAGCACTTCATCCAACTTTCGCCTTACTTCCTCGTCGCGTGTGAGCAGTCGTCATACTCATCCACTACCAAGGCCATCTTTATCAGCTGCTTGAATGATAATCACCGGGGAACGGGTGGGTGACTGTGTAAGGCTTTCAGTAGGATATAGAGCACTACGGGGTTGTCGTCGTGGAGACTTAGTACGAATGGCTCCGTCGAGGAGTACGGGAGATTGTTAACGCGCTGAGCTTCAGAGAATAGTGAGGTAGGGCATGGCATTACTGAGAATACCTTTGACATGGTGATTAGTATGCTTGCGGAGGCTTTGTGATACAGTGTGTGCGTGGGTGTGAGTAGGTGAATGAGCATGTCTCCTACCGGCGAGATCATTGCCTCACGGAAGGGGACTGGCGGTGCCATTGCTGTTCCTACCACTGCTGTTTTCGCTGTGGCCGAGAGGCCGAACCGGCTGGGGAGGTAGGTAGCGATTGGAGTGGTGGTGGTGGTGGTGGTGGTGGTGGTGGTGATTGGGACACGGTAGACACTTTGGTCATTCAGAGGCTGTATCATACTGTGGAATGTCTAGGGATGACTTAGTCTAATAATAATGGAAAAGGTGGGGAGCGCTTTCATTTTGCTCGAGTATACGGGGGTTCAGGGCATAAGTTTTGTAGGTTCCATAACAGGTGACGGCGGCAAAGCTCGCTTGCGGAACCTGCGATATGGTCATTGGGCCCTGTACTCGGGTGCAGTAGCAAAGATGTTTTGCCTTGTCTTGCTGCGTGGGGGCAGGGGAGTGCGCTGCTGCTGTCTAAGATTCATTTATTGTCATTCGTGGTTCTACAATGTTCCCAATCTGCCATGCCACTGATAGGCTGGCCTATGCGGCAGCCCGGGCCAAAGCAGGACACTCGGACAAACAACCCATAGGAGGAAATGCTGGATCCAATCAGCCTGAAGATGTCTACCCGGCCTCGTAGCAGCGATCCCCGGCATCCAAAGGGGAAACCAGGACGAAACAAACCTTGAACGAGGAGAAAGAAAAAAAGAGAAGAAAAAAAGCCGGGACCCTTCTCCCCCCCCCTTTCCTCAATATTTAATCGAATTCTAATCCAGCCCAACCCAGCTAGGCAGGCCCAAAACCTCTGCCTCCAATACCTCTGCCCTCCCTAAGGACGCTAGTGCTTGCATGAGCGGTATGCGGGAAATCCCTGCTCTCCGGAATCGCAATGAGATCATCCGCGCGATCGGTGAGGTATTTGAGGAGGCGGATATTCAACCGCTTGAGCCGTTCGACGGTATACCCGCCCGTCTCGGCGACAAGGCGGTAGCGCAGGTTCGCCAAGAGCGTCAGGCCGCAAATTTTTATGATTCGTAGAGGGGGCAGAGCAAAGAAAGGAAAGGAGGAGCAGGGTAGGAGAAGATGTAAAGGTGAGGTTATACCTTTTATTTTGCTTATACGATTTTGAGCGTGATAAGCTATTTTCATCACGGATAGCGGTGGTGGGAGGTACAGTACACCTCCAGGTTTACATGGGTATCGCTGGTGGGTGCCCATACGGGCTTTTGCTCAGCTAGCACTACTGTACTCGAGTACAATAGTGATTGCGATTTCCCCCCCGCCGGTCTGTGGTCGCTACCGAGGCTAGGGTTTTGTGTGTGAAAGATATTATACGTATAGGCTGCCGGAACTATACATTCATAGCCCATATCTACTGAAAAGCTAGAGCACTGTGGCGGACCACTACAAAAAAAATCGAAGCAAGCACTATATAAGCTTTTATATAAAGAAAATAAAAGATGCTACAGGATCATCAATCCTCGATCTCCATCTCCTCGCCCTGTCCGCCAGCATTCCAATCCTCACCCCATAGCCCATCCAATTTAAACGCTTCAGTCGACTCTTTAACAATCTCTTTTCGATCATCAATCATTATGGCAGCGGTGGCCAGCTTAACACCTCGGTAGTTGGGGGGACCGCAGTTGGGGGGATCAATCCAACCTTGGCTCCTTCAATCCCTCCAATCCATTATGACGACCTTTGCCGCTCCTTCGATGTCCGGGATGCCTCCTTTACCTAGTCGCCCACCCTTTCGTGCGACCTACATTAGGAAGTCTATTGTGAGATCAGTGGCGGTAGTATCGACGATGGGAGGGAGGTTGTAAAAGTGGAGGAGTTTGTCAAATAGCGTGTGAGATGTAGATAGCCGGCGGATGAGAAGGGAAACTGCAGGTACCGGGTCGAGGATTTGCTTTGGTTGGAGGGCACTCAGGAGGATGAGATGTGCCTGGTTGTCCTTTGAGCCACCATTTTGAGCCTTTTGTCTAGCTTGACTTCTAGTAAGCTTGTGGTGACGGCGGCTTCAGCGCCTGTCGGAAAGGCGGTCCATAAGCCACCCAGACGGCCGGTAAGGGTGTTGATAACTGATAATTTCTCAACATTCGGGTATTCAATTACACCCACTGATACCAACCGGTTGAGCTGTTTGGCATGCGCAAATGATTTTAGAGTCTCCAGAAGAGTAGCTGAGGTGCCCTATACCGTCAAGGATTTATGATCAAATGTCTGGGGCATTCGCAGCAGACCTGCTAGCGCTTAGTGGCCGCGTTGGGAAGTCTCTGCGGAGATAATCCAACCACCCGTTCAGGCGTCCCTGGCACGAGATAGATCTTGTTCAGGATAAGGATTAGTCGTTTCTCGCTGCCATCAGCCCCCATTATCTGTCTTTCCACATCGCGGGAACGGGTGCCTTCGGGGTCTCCAGCATCTAGGACGTAGAGAGTTATGCCGGCAGCATCGACCACTTGCTTGAATATCTTGTCAAGCGATTTTCATGAGGTATCTTTGCCGTTGCTCTTGGATTCGAGATCTGGAATGCCGGTTTCTGAACCTGAATCGCCATTGGACTCGCCGCCGAAGCCACCATGTTTGGCTTCATATTCTGAGGCCCTTGCTCGCCGTAAGGCCAGGAGGGCTGCCATTGCGGAACCTCCAGTGTATGATTATTTAGCAATTTGTTTAAAAAGAGAAATGAGTACTTGTCGCACATGGCGGAACATACTCTAGAATTAGAGTCATTTTTATCCATAGTATCGCTATTTAACTCACTGGAACTCTCATAACCTCCTCCCTGGTCTTGCATAGCATCCTCCCTGCCCTCTGCTCTGCCCACTAACTCCTCATTTCTCTGCTTTGCAAGTTCTCTTCGCAATTGCTCCTGTTCCTTCAATAGCTTTCCCTCTTCAATCTTAGAATAAACGATCTTATATGGAAAACAACCTGGAATATTGAGTTTGTCCTTCATCTTTTTTTTTGGTGGAGTTCTGGATGCTTTTTGGCTTCCTTTCGTTCCCTGTGGGCCATTTTGTTAGAGCGCTTCTCGATTTTGTGGTGGAGAGGAACAGGAATCGGCTTGGACTTCTTTCCTAGAAACTCTTACCGTAGGCAATAGTCGTATATCTGGATATGCAAAAACCTAACATTGTGAAATTTTTTGGAGATAACGATGGGTTGCCTGCCTAGCGTGTAAAGTGGTTTAAGATATAAAACTCACCCGACAAATGCCAGACCTGCATGTTTTGGGTAGGTTGTTGTGCCAAGAATCCAGCATCCATCCATCCACCCTCCCTCTCGTCGCACACCCGCCCATCTCCACTAGATCCTACCCGTTAAACAACTATGTACCGCAACCGACATCGCACCCGCCTATCCCCATTCTCACTCCTCCGGGTACTATAAACACATCCTGCACGTTAGACCCTACCACATTAAACACAACTACCACACTCCCCCTTGGTATTTGCTATCCCTAGAAAGGCTTGGGTTTAGCTAGAATTAATGGCTTATACGTCTGCCTCCGCCTCGCCCAATGTCGCCACCGCGATCCACTCCAACGCTCGGGTCAGAGCCCCCGGGGCCTCGCGACAAGGAGAGCCAGGAATCAGCACCAGCGACAGCGGTGGTGGAGCTAATGCAGGAGGCCAATAACTCCCGACAGGTGTACGAACAGTTTAAGAAAGTGTTTGACCGACACATGGTAGTTGCTGAGCCAAAGGGAACGAAATAATACTCGGGCATCATGGTGAATACGGCACATGACTCAGGCATTATGGAGCGTGGTGATAATGGGGGTGGTTATAGCGCATGTCAGTAAAGGGTCCAGCGAGTAGTTCGATACAATACATGTTCGCAATAGTGAGCTTTTCCGTCCTCTGTTTGTATCCGTCCACCCATCTACACTCCTGCAGACTGTCGTGAAAACCGATGATGACGTTTACCTGTGGTAGTGTTGGTTTGCAGTTCTGGCGCTAGTATACCTGTCCCCGGTTTTACAGGACAAAAATATTTGCACACCCGTACTGGGCTATTGGGGCTAACACTATATTCTCGGTGTACTAGTGGTGGGATCTCTGATGGAGAGGGGAAAGAGAAGAAAGAAAAGTGTAAGATCAAGAAGGCGGGTGGATGTGCCTTGCTTACTGCTGGAATTGGTGAGGACCCCAAAGCATGAAGATGAACCAAGCAGCCGTCGGACTCGGTGTGATTCTGTGGCAAACCCCCTCACCCTGCACACCATTCATTCCTCAGTTCCATTTTTTCCTCATTAACTTGATGCAGGATTTTCTGACTTGGAACTACTGCGGTTGCGGGCTATGCCACCTGGTATTTCCGCCAAGACAGCGTCTCCCCATTCGAAGACCTAGCCCGGCAGGACATGACATTGAGGAAACCACCAAGAATGCCTTTTGTTCTAACGACGAATTGCCCTCATTAATAGAAACCTGGATGAGGACGACGGTGACAACAGACCCTCCTCCCATCACGGACGTAGTGGAAGTGTGACAGCTACAATACTAGTTACGATGCTCACCCCGATAACCCTATTCCTTGGGGCGGCGAAGGAAGCGCGTAAAACGGAATCGGAGGACACGGACCAGTGGCAATGGGCGAGAATAGAAGAACCCCCTCGGGGTTAAGCTTGCCCATCGTTCCGGATGAGGATTATAGCTACAGGGGAGCGGCAGTGTTTTCTGTGTTTTCCTTTTGTCTTCCGGCATCTTCTTCCATTTTCTTCCATTTCCTTTTCTGGCTAGGTTTTCCTATTGGCTCTGGTGCGAATAGGATGGGCTATCACCTTTTACGTTTTATATATCCTTTTGCGGCATGGAACAATGGAAAATGGCTTTTCAACATATATAACATTGAGTACAAACGGGGTTGGCGGCCGATCTGAACAGGGGATTTGATCAAATGAAGGAAGCATGGGGAGGAGGAGGAAGTCGTTGATATATAGCTATTAGCTTCCTAATCGGGGCTTTGTAGGGCCATTCCATATCACTGGCTTTTTGTAGACGTCCCATATCACGGGTCGCTGATGCCCACACCAACATCCATGCCTGCCCCAACCACCGCGGTACACCGGCCGATGCAGATTTCGTTCAAGCGGATGCCGTTGGCTTGTCGCGATCGTGACCGCGCATCTCGTACCCCCACCATAATAGCCGTGTCCGCTCTCGTCCTCGTCGTCCCGATCGGGACGTGGTTGTGG